CCACAACTTGTGTCTTGTTTCAGCGGCTACCCAGTTGCATTGGTTTGCTGGCTGCCTGTGGGAACCGTGATGACAGCAATAATGACAATAACGACTATGATGATGGAGCCGTTGGATCGTTATGGATGATTGATGCCAATGGGTGGTATCGATTGAAAAGCCTGGCCGTGGGCGGAGGTCCAGCACCCGAAAACGACAAAAACTGCACCGTGCTGGCTCAACTGGTCAATGATCAATTGCAAGACTTGGATTCTCGTGAGATGACTACTGATGAAGCAATAACACACATTCTAGCCATTTTGGGTGGAGGAGAGGAAATTGATGGGAATGGCACTGCCCCTCTTTTGAGCCATGATTGTGAACTAGAGATTGCCTACACGAATGCCAAGACGGGTGGGAGATTACATCGACAGTCGTTGAAGTCGTTCACCACGGGGAGAAAGGAGCCAATATCATGACATCACGTGCTGTGACGCAGGAAGTTTTTCGTGCCGAATGGCTCCTAGCTACTCTCTAGCTAGCAAGCATGTACTTCAATCAATCCCTCTCTCCACTCTTTCACCATAAGCTACGGTAGTATATTACCTAGCTAGCTAGAACAGTTCAGCGACCTCGTTGTGGGACGGTACCGAAAACCAAAGTCCAACCGTATTATTATTTGCACGCAGGCGACTGCTCTTCTACGTAGCTAGCTAGATTAATTTGGATCTTAGTGACAACCTCGCTGGCTGGCGGTAGCTGAGAAGCCCATCTCCCCATTTCGCTGGTCCCATTTCTTTTTCACTCATCGAGCTCTTGTGCTTTACTCGTACCAGCAACTGTCATTATTATCTTGACTATAGAAGAACCATGACAGCAGTAGTAACAGACAAGCAGATCTCCTGGACAAGGATCACTCCAGAAGCCGATGCCACCCATGGCAAGCCTTGTACTCGTAGTTCCCATGGCCTCTCTCTGGTCCGAGGTGGCTCTCGTTTGATTTTGCTCGGCGGCGAGCATGTGGCTCGCACTCCCCTCGAAGGCAGCAATCGCTATTGGGCAGCAGACAAGACGGATGCAAACAAATGGCAATGGCGCTTGATTGCTTCGGCAGATTCGGGCCCTCCTGAACGGATTGCTCATGCCCAAGCGGCTCACCAAGATCAAGTTGTTTACATTTTTGGCGGCCGCGCCGGAATAACCATGGAAGAGAAGGCCATGAATGATTTGTGGAAATTGGATTGTTCGGGTGAACCAGGCACCGAGACTTGGTCTCAGGTAGAAGCTAACAGCGGCACTCCACCGGAAGCAAGGTCCTTTCACAAAATGATTTGCGTCGGCAACAATTTGTTCGTCTTTGGAGGCTGTACAGCCGGTCATGGTCGTGCTGCGGATTTGCATCGTTTTGACTTGGAATCCAAGACATGGCATTCCTTGGGAACTTCGGCTCTCAGAGGACGTGGTGGACCCAACTTGCTACCCATGGCGGGTGGGACCAAAGTGGGAGTAGTCGCTGGGTTTGCTGGTGAGGAAACGGCGGATGGACAGTTGTTTGATATTGCTGCTGGCAAATGGAACGACAAACTGCTCGAATCCGAGTTGGAGGGAATGAGACCCCGCAGTGTTTGCGTTTCGGGATCATTCCCATCGTCGGGTTATTCCGTGATTTTTGGCGGTGAGGTGGATCCGTCGGATCGTGGCCACGAAGGTGCGGGTGCCTTCGAAAATGATGTGGTGGTATTGGATGAAACTAGTGGAGCTTTCCTGGCTTCGATAAAGGCCAAGGGTGGAGCCTGGCCACAAACCCGTGGTTGGTCAGACTCTGCTGCTGTAGACTCCGTTAATGGATCAGGCCAGCTCTACATTTTTGGAGGTTTGTCAGGAGATGACAAGAATCCAGAACGTTTGGACGATCTCTGGGTATTGGACGTACAAAAAGCTTAGACCAATACGTTTTGGGCCTCCAGACGTCTAACTTGCTAGACTGAATCACAGCAGCATATACGTACACCATACTAATTCACACTGAATAAAACATTTATGATGGCTTTTAGTACCGAAGGTCATGGGGAGCAGGGGCAGTCACACCCGCAGAGTACGGGAGAGCAGTCGAAGGACAACCTGTGAAGACCACAGAGCCCCTGAGGAATGGTGCCTGTGAGGGATGTGCCTTCCAAAAGCAAGGTATGCATGGACTCATTCAGCTGCTCCAGTTCCAGAGGTATTGATCCGTTAATCATTGGGTTGTTAGAGAGCCTCAGTTCTCTCAAACCAGTCAGCAGTCCAAGTTCAGAGGGAACGGATCCGGACAAGTTTGTGTCCGCAAGGAAGAGACGGTGCATTAGCTGCGCCTGACCAAGCTCGGAAGGAATTTGACCTATGAATGGATTGCCATCAAAGTCTGCTACTTTCTGGATTTGCAATGGTACGGTATCCATGAGGAGGTGATTTGGATTGTAGGATCAGAAAACTCAGTTTTGCTCAACTTACCAGGTTTGTGCACAACCCAAGTGATGATGGAATGACCCCACTGAACTGATTTCTATCCAACATGACAGTTTGGATTTTCGGCATGCGATAGCCAATATCTGAGGCAATTGATCCACCGAAGGAGTTGCGGCCCACTATGATTGTTTTAAGATGTGACAGTTGCCAAAGCTGCTCTGGCAAAGATCCAGTCAGCTGGTTATCCAACAATGACAATCCTTCCAAAGTGTTTGAGAGCAATCCAACTTCAGATGGGATTGTCCCAGTTAGGTCCAGACTGAAGAGCCTCAGATTGGTTAGCTGTGTCATTTGACCTATTTGAGTGAAGATGGTGGAACCAATTTGGCCTCTTGCAAGCTTCAAACTCTGTAGTGATGTCATGAGCATGAGTTCTTCAGGAAGAGTCCCAACAAGGTTGTTCTGCAGTATGTGCAAGTTGCGAAAGCTTCCATCTTCATTGCAAACTTCCTTGCTATTAAGAGAGCCCAAGGAGAACCACTCACATTCAGGAATACCATATGACAGCCATTTAGCTGATGTTATGTTGACATGCTTGATTGTGGGCCTCATTGGGCCTGGCGGTGGCCCATTGGGCGGTGGCCGTCCACTGCCTTGGGATGTTCCTTGTGGGCGTGATGAATTAGACAGCTGTGGCGCTGCTGTGGACACATTTGGCTGTAGCTGCCGGTGGTTTCCAGGTAATATTTCGTCCACAGTGATTGTGGTTGTACCTCCTCCTTGCTCCAACCATTCTGGCCCTCCAAGAGAGTAGTATAAAGTTGCAATAGCAAACCTTTGAACAAGACGTGCTTCTGTGTATTCTGATACCAGCGGGTCGGCTCTCAGCCATTCATATGCTTTGGATTGAGGGCTGGCACCAGAGTCATCATAGAGCATAAGAGTCATGGTGCTATTGGGCAGGGAAAGTGGCAAGTCAAATCTTGATTTGATTGGTGTTTCGATTTCATCGTGACTGATGTTGGTTATTGGATGGCCCAGTTCATCAGTGATGTTGTCTTTTGGATGGGATTGCTTCCTTGCCACAAGGATGACAGTAAGCACAGCAGTCAGAGGAGCAAGTAGCAACAAACAAGTCAAAAAACGCCATGCCCGGGTTGCCTTTTTGCTGTTTGCGCTTCTCTCCTTTGGATCCACTGGTTCTGCCTCATTGATGGTGGACACGTTGACAGGCCTGGCCACCACCAAATCGTCCATTTCTGGAAAATCTGCTGATGGATCTTCGCTGTGGTCTTGGTGACTCCTGTTACTTGCTGTGTCAATTGTGAAGGGCTCACTGTTGATTCTACATGACTGTGGTCCAGGTTGAGCAAAGGCCCCTGGTTCTGAGGGCACTCGCATCCCTAAGTTTGGAGAAGGCAGCGGTTCAATGGACGAAGCAAGGTACTCTCCAAAGGCTTCTATATTGTGATCTGGACAGGATGCAGCATCCATTCGTCCTTCTTCCATCCTTTCATGCTCGCGCTGGTCTCCTTCGAGTACGACTCCCATATGTGTGGGCATATCGACATGAGCAGCCCCATGATCACTTTTCGGAAATCTTTTGTTTGTGCTCGGCGAATGCTGCCATTCGGATCCTGGCTTACGAGTCGTAACAGGTCGACTTTTGAAGTCATGAAGGTTACCACTCTGTTTGAGAACGCCTTTCCCAATTTGATCGCTACCCCGGGAATCATTGACGTCCTTAACTTCTTTCAATGATCCAGTCGGTTTACTAAAGGTACTTGGGAAGACCACAGGCGTCCTATTGGCACTGCTTTCGGCCGATGGCATCGTAAGCTCTTCTTTCTCCGTCGCACGCAATTCCGCACCAACATCATTTTCGTGATCAGGTAGATTTTTGCAGTCTGCCTTCTCTTCCTCCGTTCCTTCGTTGGAGGTCAATTCCTCCAATCCATCAGCTGCGTTGCTCGGAACTGATGAAATCATCGTAATGATTACTTCAAAGTACTCGTACCGGTGGAAGAGATTGTATGAAGCAAGCTAATAAGGGGAAGCAGGGCACTCTTTTCTTTTGCTGTTGTTGTCACGGTTGTCACAGCCTTCGTCTTTGCATGAGCGCTCCTGCTGTGCTCTTTCTGTACTCTGAGCGCTTCTCCTTTTGTCAAACGGGGTGGATGTTGGCTTTTACCAAAAGACCACAAAAGCACACCACGAAGTGTGATTGACCGTCTGCATTCAGTTTCAGTGCTTTCTGGTCATGACGACCATCAATAAATGAGTTAAAGCGAAGCATCATTTCAATTGTCCTGCTATCTGAAACGTGTTCTACCGGTACTCAGAGTCATTTCCAGGTTAGCACTCATTGAAGCATTAGAGCATCAGAAGCAGACTAAATAACCTTGGCTCGATTCTCGAGTGCATTGGATTAAAAAGAACTACTCCAGTACGACTGTACTGAGTACCACTAGCTACTGTAGCTGGTCCACCGTTCCACACACCGGACACCGGGACAGGGGGTCAACAGCACCACAATGTAGCTAGCCAGTTTAGTCTTGGTTTGCTAGTGACTCAATCAAGGAAGAAGAAGAAAAAAACACAAGTCCTCTGCATCAACAGCAAACAGTGTTGTTGTTGTTGCCATCTCCTTGTGATTACTACTAGCTAGTAGTGGTCATACCATCTACCACTACTCCACAAGAAGAAGCTGCTTGATTCAAAGTGCTTCCACTGTAAAAGTCAAATTCTGATCTGTACTGTATTGCATACTGTTTGATCAATGTAGTTTCCTGCTGCCCATACCGTTTACGGTTCATCGTGGGAACAATTTAATGTTTACCGTTTACCGTTCATGCATTGACTTGTTCAAAGAGGACAATATCTGTGTACGATATACGGTTTACGGTTTTACAAATTAAAGTTGATTTACGATATACGATAAACGGTATCCTCCCTCCTGCAATGTCTCCAAAGAAGCAAGGCACAACCCAAAGCCACAGCAGATAAACGGTAAACGGTAAACAGTACACAAAATAATTGAAACGGTACACGGTAAACCGTGTTGAATTCTCTTTACAAAAATATCAAAGAGAAAAACTGCGGTAAACGATATACCGTTTGGGCTGGCCACATGTGCACATTGTATACCGTATACTGTATCCGCCACCTCATTGGTGATGACTAAATTTTTAGGCAGAAGTGGGTGGGCCTGCTACATTGTGGTGCTGTTGACCCGCTGTCGTAACAAGTATAGTACCACGAAAACTACCCAGCCCTACTAGTATTCATACGTTTTATGAAGGCGAGTACTCAGCTTTTAGAAAAGGCTAAGATTCTCTTGCCACTGAGATATTATAGACATGTACATTGTAAAAAAAATCCAGATTGAGACCTCAAAGGGAAAGAATACTACTCGCTAGCTAGCTAGCTAGCTAGCTAGCTAGTCTGACATAATGAAATTGCTCCAAACCTTGTGCCTACCAGGTACCTGGAAATCTGCCTAATTTTCTGCCTGAACCATCTCTACTTGATCCAAACCAACTAAGAGTGAGCGAGTTGGAACCAAAGGCCCAGGTGCACTGGGAGTACCCCAATACCAACCTGTTTGATATAAAAAGCTTAGGCAGAAAGTACTAGCTAGTATTCTATAGTGATATCTGCTTGCTTGGTATGAAAGAAGGTTGAAACTTCAGAGTTCAGCAAGAAAGCTTGAGTACATGTACAACTGTACCCTCTCCGGGTTGGAACTTTCTTAATATTAAATTTTAGTTTTGAGATATGCATTGGGGTCCGCGGACGGTCACGAAAGGGTTTGCGGTACAGTATGTCTCATAAGGCCTTATGGCTCCTGCTTGTGACTGATCCCTGGCAACCCTAGCTAGCTAGAGTGATCTGGGCTTTAAGACCCACCGTTTCGCGCAATATTCTCTTCAGAGCTGGATATCGAATATTGTACTTTTAAGGGGTGGAATCGATAGAGCACATGTTGCTGAGTAAGCCGTAAAATTCCCAACTCCATGTGACACATATTGAAGGAGTTATGGGCAGTTGAAGATTTCGCACAATCACCAGGGAATTCTTTTCCTCTGCTTTATAAGACCGAATGACGTCACACGTAGCCTCTAGTACTGAGTCTACGTAGGAACCTACTTGACGTCACAGGTAGCCTCTAGTACTGAGGCTACTACACCGCAACTCCTTTTCTTCGGCACCTCCATGGTCCCAAAGCACCTCTATTGAAGCGCATGCGAAGCACCTCTACGGTACCGGTATGATACGACTATAGAGGTACGAATCCAAAGCACCTCTACCGGTATCGATACCAGTCTACTAGCTAGTCTACTAGCTAGCTAGCTCTTACTGTAGTTGTACTATAGGCATTACTGTACAATCCGAAGAGTATTACCAGAGTCTTAATGCACTGCAGGTCTTAATACCCAGATCACTCTAGCTCTATCTTGCAGTGGCGGCCAGTCAAAGACAGTTTCATGTGCGAGTCGAGTCCTCTACATTGCTCTATTGCAATACTCAGGACCGTCCGACGGTTTCCGCTCGGGATTTTAAAAAATTCAAATTTCCACGACTGACGACCGTTTTAAAACATGCCCTTAAAACATGCCCTTAAATCTTTAACATGCCCTAAACATGCCCTTAAATAAACATGCCCTTAGCAACATGCCCTTAAGCCTTCGAAACATGCCCTTAAGCCTGCACATGCCCTTTTAACATGCCCTTAACATGCGCTTATTTCGCTTCGCACCACCACCGCGATCCACCACCGCGATCGATCGACGCAAACCTTCATGGTCGACAATCTCGCCGACAGACGAACTAGCTAGCTAGCACCAACAACAACCAACCAAGACAAGAGAAGGAGGGCAACATGGCAGATGACTTTGATGAGGATGGGTATGTCGTGTACTCAATCAAGACGCCAGACGAGATGCTTGCTGAGGGTTTGTCACTTGCTGGATTCACAGAGAAGCGATTGTCAAAATGGGGTCATAAGTCAAAGGTTCAGACCTTCAAGGATCGCTACGGTCCCATTCCTATTGTGGCTGCTCAAATCTGGGAAGATTGCAGCAACATCATTGATGAGGCAAGAGTGCCAGAGAAGAAGCTCAAGCTGAATTATTACTTCATGGCACTGCATTTCCTGAAGCGCTATCCCACTGAATCTGAGCGGAATTGCACATATCAACAGCGGGTGGCAACACAGCGAGAGTGGGTTTGGTATTTCGTTGAGAAAGTAGCCCGTCTCCTTGCCTCCAAAGTTTATTGGCCGGAAGATCACATTCATGGAGATGATATCTGGATCTGCTCTATTGATGCTACTATGACTGCGGCTTGGGAAGTTGCCCATCCAGAATTGGCGAAGGATCCCGGCATGTTTGATTTTAAGCACCATTCAGCCGGATACAACACTGAGATTGTTCTATCCCTTGTTCGGAGTCAGGTGCTGCAAATTTGCCGGCTGAGAAGGCAGGAGAAAACCCTGACCGAATTATGTTTCGAGCCAACGGTGGCCTGCGCGACAAGCTGCACGCAATCAATAAGAAAGCAATTGCTGACGGTGGATACACGGGCGATCTTGATGTGCTAAGCACTCCAAACGCTCATGACTCTGCAAGCGTTCGTCGGTTCAAATCGAGAGCTTTGAAGCGCCATGAATACTTCAACAGCATGCTAAAGAGTTTCAAAGCTATGGACCATGTCCATCGCCATGGCAAGCCAAACTCCAGCTCTGTGTTGCTGCTATTGTTGTCATTTGCCAGTACGGATGGAGCATGGAAGCCCACTCTGGAATATTTATGTGGGCGATATGTAAAGGCGATTAATCGTAATATTGCATACTATAGTAGTCTCCGCCCTTGTCGTCCTGCTTTGGCACCGGCACAAATCGAAGCAGCCCCTGCTTCTTGGACTTCGCCGCCATCTCACCCCCTCCTCTCTAATGTGGCGCTGTAGTGTCTGGTGGTCGTTGGCTCTGGTATTTGTGTTTTATTCTATCTGTTTGTGGCTCCCAAGAAGTGCGTGTCGTTTCCACGTGCTCTGTTGTGTGATAAGGCTGAGTCGATGTTCTGTTGAAAGTCCAGCTGTCTAATGATCATCGTCTCTGTTGTGGAAGAGGAGAAAAGGTTGCCATCATCACCAAACATGTCGTCAGAATCGAAACTGTTTCCGGTTCCAAGAGCATTGTCAACCGGTGGCTTCTGCTTCTTGGTAGTCGGCTTCTTGGCAAGCTGCTTCGTCTTAGTTGTTGGCTGCTTCTTGCTGTTAGACGTAGTTCCCGATGGATCAACAGATGGCACGGGGGCGGGTGGTGCTACTGGTTTTGTTGGCACTGTGCCTCCTAGTAGGAACAACAAACACATGAAAAAGCAATCAACAAAAACCATCCACTATTGTTGTTAGAGACTACACAGACAGCTTGGCAAGGCGGACAGAAGAACACCAGCACTCAACCTCGTTTCCTGCCAGCCTTCTTTTTCTTGCCAACGATTTTCATTTTCTGCATGGAAGCAGCAACATCCGTCATTGGTTCCTCTTCCTCGTCAGAATCCATTGCCCCACGAGCTCGCTTGTCCAATGCCTTGTCGGCAACCCGCCAAACAAGACGAGGCGAAGAATGAACAGACCAAACGGACACGTCCTCTGTCATTCCGTCCGAGTTCGTCTCCATTGAAATTTGAGGTAAATTGCCGTCCTCATCAAGCTCGTTCTCGATGTCCAAATCCGTTTGTACCGGGAGAGTCCCCACAGTCATAAGCCCGTCTTCCTTATTCGAGTTGATTTCCAGCACATCCGCCGAAAGCTCGACGTCTCTGGGGAATTCGAGATGGTAAACCTTCGTTGTTCTTCTCTTTCTTGATGACCTCTTCTTTGAACTGAACCGTTGCATTCTCAATAGCCTCCCAAACGACTCCATCATTTATGGGTACACCTTCTTCGTCAACCGCTTCGAGCATTTCCTTGATCTCCGGATTGTCATATCCCGAATTAGAATAATCCAACGCCGGAGCTGTAACAACAACAGTTCTGGCATTGTAGACCCGAGCTTGAAATGGAAATGCTTTCCTCTTCCCACCATCTCCCTGGGCATCCACCGGATGTACACGCATAAAAATCAGATAGCCCTTGTACATCTTCGCGGCCTTTGTCTTGGGATTCTCCTTTCCAAGGAGACCTTCAGCAGAGAGCACCTTGAATGGTTCCTCGGTCTTCCACCACTGATCAATATTGACCACAATCTTGCCTGTTGAAAGC